ACCTTGACTAACTTTTTGTGGCTCGCGGAGCAGAAGTTCTGCACCCGTTTTAAACTGGGATGTGTCTTAGTTATCTCTGCATATGTTCAATGCTTTTTCCAAGCAGTTACATTGCCAGAATGTTTTTGACATTCACAATTTAATACACGTCAGTTTTAAATGCTTAAGATACAGAGTGTTCATACACACAGCAATCCTTTCCTTGCAGTTTGTGGGCACATATGCAGACTATTTCCCCACAAAAGAAAATGGTTTGAATGATTCTCTTCGGCAAAAAAAAACATTTAAGATTGCTTATTCACCCGCTGTTTTTCGTTACTGAAACATCAAACATGCATGGAACCCAATACAAAAATACAGATCCAATGCTTGTTACAACTACTCCATTTAAAATACATCTTATTCCTAGCAAACAGTGTCACAGATCTAGATTGCTCACAAATGACTCCTAATTTATTATTATTCATTTCAAATAGCACCAAGATAGTTTAAGAAGCTGTACAAACACAAGAGGGCATGGCTCCTTCCTCAAAGAACTTTCACTCTGAAGCAACCAGAGACACAAAGGGCGGATGAAAGGGGCAAACATACAAGTAAAGCGCTCACATGGTTATCAATATGATATTAATACATCAGGGGTTGAACCTATACAGAAACCTGCACATATATACAGTAGACTACTAGAAAAATTACCAGTCATTGGCTGGATTCTTAACTCAAATAAGTTTTGTTTTTCTTCATTTTAATCATTGCTGTAAGGTGGGGCTGGGAAGAGGGGTTCAGTATGGAGACTGACCTAGGGAGAGAGGACAACGCCAGCCCTCTCTCGCTGCAGCAGCTTGGAGCCAGTTAAGAAGCGCCTATCCATGGCCGCTGCCATTGCAATGGGCCTACCTGGGTGAGGGGTGAATGTCCTCTGAATAGGGGACAGACCAACACACACATACAAACAGACACACAGACAAACTCTCTGAAATACATAGTAGGTAGCTTTCCCTTTCTCTACACCTGCCCCCTCCTGGCCCAATGCAGTTATAGCTGTCCCAGTCTCCATCTCTGACCCGTTGCTGCCCCCTGTGGTCTCTCTGCAGTACAACTGTCTCTCCTGCCAGACCCCTCCCTTTCCATTGTATGAGAAACAATCACATACCAGGCACATCCAAATGTCCTGGCACAACCAACCCCTTATCTTGCTTTATGTTATGATAAGAGAAAGCTGCCTACCAAATTTGGTGGTACTAGTTCTTAGTTTTAGAAGATTTTTGGAACAGGTGGACTGACAGACGGACAGAAAAACAGCTAGAAAATGAACATTTCTAAAATATATAATGCGATATCGAAGTACAAGAGTGTCTTGCGTTAATCAGCTGGTTAGTTTCTATGGGAATCATGAAAAGCATCTGATTTCAGAGCTCTAAATCCTAGAATTATGGGTATAATCATTTTTGGTACAAAATGAGACCTGTACAGCATGCCTGGTGCCTGCTTTTAAGCCTTGGTGATGCATCAAAAAAGCTCTAACTCACAGCTGTGCTATAGAGGATGAGAGCTAAACTGGATATAGGCTATAAATGTGTTTCAGAGCTTTTACTATGCCAAATTGTGACTAGAATAGAATAGGATAAAAGGTAATTTCTTTTAATGATATGTTTATTAGCTGTCTCCACAGACTTCAGAGAATTATGGTTACTCAATCCATGGTGTTAGAGAGGAGGCTTCATCTGTATCTGCATGAAAAATGTTCAAGTAGTATTATCTCCCATAACTCTCAGTTATGGGCCTATTTTATCTATGCAAATATAATTGTCCAAAAGTCGGATTTCCCTGTTTTTATCTCATCTGAATGGTGGTCAGCCATCTGAACTCAGTAGCAAGAGATATGCTCAAAGAACAAAAAGATGCTTTGATCTTGCCAATTCCAAAGCTTAAAATAAACCTCTGATATTTTTAATTTTTTGACTTCCTGTGCATCACACTATTTAGTAAAGGATATGCTGATGAGATATAAATAGAATTAAGATTATTTTTAGTAAAGGTCATACACAGATCGGGGCAATAAAAATTTTGCAGAAGCCCATGATTGGTCCTTAACTTTCGGTAAAAATACCATGAGAAAGAGGAGGCTAACAGTCAGAGCATTACCAGGAGCTGATCTCCAGCTCCTGGAGTGCTGACCCAACTCTAGCGGGGAGGGTCCACTGTTTCGGCAGTCCCAGGATCACTGCTCTGATGGCCAGCCCCCTGCCCAACTGCCTACTGGTCTTGGGATTCAATTCTAGCTGTTGCTCTGGAGACCCAGGGAACAACTGCTCAGGCAGTCTTGGGGCTGAACTCTTACCGCTGTTCTGGTGGCCCAGAGACCACCAGCTGGCTGCTTCACTGTACCATAGGACTGCTGCTCTGGCAGGCTGGAGGGAATGCAGTTCTGGCAAGCCTAGGCCTAACTGCAAGCCACACAGCCCCAGCACAGACTGTTAGCCACATTTCCAGCCCTGCCATTGCTTGTGAGGCACTGATTGACAGCTGCTGCTCCAATCTCACTGGTGTGACTCCACTCCAAACCTGCCTCAGAAGAAGTCATGTAGGTCCTGGAAAATCACAGAATCTGTGACCATCCATGACAGAATCATATCCTTAGGCATAATTGCATTGAATTTAGCATTATAGAGTCAAGGTGGCTGAGGTAATATTGTTTATTGAATAAACTTCTGTTTGTGAGAAAGATAAGCTTTTGAGCGTACACAGAGATCTCCAGGTCAAGCAAATGTACTGAGTATCACAGATAAATATAAAGGTGGAACATACTGTTTAGCATAAGTAACTACACAGATTTCAAGAAACTATTCAAGGTAAAGTAGCCAGTTAACCCCTCTCCAGTCCTAGCAGGGGAAAGAGAGGAAAAAGCAGAGGTGGAGTGTTAATGAGTGACATATTATTGTAGTAAGACATAAATCCAGAGTGTAATCAGTGCATGATTTTTAGTATCAAGCAAAGTTCTAAATGTAAGTATCCAGACCTGACTTTGAAAGTATTGTGAGGGTTTCAGTTGAGGATGAAGACTGGCAGGTCAAGACATAGAGGGAGATCAATTAGTGAAAAGTGTTCACCCACAAGATATTTGTTTTTTTTTCTGTTTTTTATCATTTTTCTATGTGAGCTCATTTGAGAGCAAAGTGATTAGTTTTATCCACATGGTTGTTATTGGGCCATTTAATACACTGGATGAGGAACACCACATGATATGACAGGCTTGTGTAGGACTCATGGATCTTAAAATGTGTTATGGGTGGTACTGATAATAGTAGGAGCGGGGCTACGTTTACATATTTTGCACCTGTTATGCTGGCAGGATCTGGTGCCACTTTGAGTTGGTGGGTCCTGATCTGTGGAGAGCTTGGAGAGGTTGGGAGAGGTTATGTGAAGGCCAGAAGAGGGGGTTCTTGAAAGATTTCTTTTGGGATGTGGTCCCCATTAAGTATGGGATGTAGCTGTTTAATAGTACACTGAATGAGTTTCTTTTCCGTCTTGTATTTAGCTCCAACACTGATTATGTTTCCTAGATCTGTACATCAGCTCTGTGTGGCTCAAAAGCTTTTCTCTCTCACCAACAGAAATTGGTTCAATACAAGATATCACCTCACCAGCTTTATCTCTCTAATATCCTAAGATCAGTATGGCTACCCACACTGCATCAAACTTAACATGAAATAATTAGCACTCATTTGACTTCTAAAAATAGCATAATGCCTCGTGTATATTTTGATATGTTTATCATAAGTATACAAACCTGCTCTTGAGGGAAAATTATAATTTAGAACCAATATAAACTGGACTGACCTTCCTCCATACAACTGTAATCAGAAACAAAATTAGTATTTATTTTCACACACTCTCTGACACTGTCTAATAATTGCACACAGAGTCATGGAGTTTAATGCCAGAACATAATTTATCTTAAATAACCAATATGTGTTAATTCAAGCTTAACATGTTTTTTGTCTAGGAATTATATTGACAATTGTGGACCAAATCGTCAATTTATCACTTTAGCTCCAATTAAATCAATAAAGCTATGCCAAGTTAGACCAACAGATGTTCTGGATTTGTTTTTTCTGGACATTCTATACACTAGTATGAAATATCATACAACTTCATTTACATTTATGAATGTGCCACCCAAAAATCAAGGCACCCCTAATCACTATTTTCTCTTAAAAATGTAGACAACTGAAGTGTGGTTTAATAGATGTACCGAAGGGCATATAAAAATCGAACACAAACACTTTTCCAGTTTAACATACTCAGGGATCACATAACTACACTGGCAATAATTTATCTAGCATGGCATTTTCAAATTCTGAAAACACTCTGAATAACATTTCAAAAGATAAGCAATTCTGGAAACAATTTCCTACACAGTATTAAGTCACGCTGAACTTATAAAGAAGAATACAGAACCCAAACTTACATTAATTGCTTAATGGAATGTTGTCTTTTATGATACCTTGTTATTTTTAAACATGAAAATATAAACAGTATAACTGACATCAATGGGAATTAGGCACCAAATAGCTTTGAGGATCTGGGCCTTCAGCACTTTGGAGTCAAAATCTCACTGAAAGTCAGTCGTATGAAAATGAGACCTAGGCTCCTAAGTGAATTATGTATTGCCGTGCTAAGAAGAGCAACATACATCTGTCTCTCTGCATTTTGCATTGGGAAAAATAACTATGCCTCTCTCACAAAGTACTGAAGATTATGGAAGACAGCAAGATGGTTCTTCCAGATGTGTACCTGGGTGCATATGCAAAGCTTAAGACACCTAATTGTTAAATAGTTAACTTTCATTAAACATAAGATTCTTAGCAATCTGTTAAATCTAGAGAAAAATGACAGTGTTACATGACCCTGTTTTCTTCATCCACCAGTTTATATATTTTAAGCAACAACATGACAGTAGAATGATGGCATGAAGTTTTAACATGACTAGATCAACTTACCTTCCTATAAACTGTACAGCTTCTTCAGTCAATCTTTGAGTAAGGTTCTTGTAGGACAGTGGCTGCTGGATAATCTGGTGATTCCTCATCAAGAAGCAGTTTAAATATCGAAAAGTATAAAAGAAGATGAGCAAAAGTCCAAGCAAAAGTATAAGTATTAAAAAGGAGTATCCTACTGCTCCAGGGGGTATTCTGAGGAAGCCAACATAATGCAGCACCCCCAAAGAGATTAAGAGGATGCCAATGAGCTGAAGTGGAGTGGCTAGGTATGGTTGAACCCCTGCCACAAACACACTGCCTTCCCCTGGTTTGCAATCTCTAAGATTGGTCATGGTGAGCCCATAGAAGTAATCAAATCC